ATGGGTAGGGGAGGCATGACAGGAGGATGGATATATGGCAGTCAGTTGCTTGTGTTAAGAACCAGTGGTCAGATCAGGAAAGTCAAGTCTGGCCCCACCCTGGTTCTTTTTTTCTGATGCAAGACCTGGCCCCTTCCCAGTCTGGCCTCCCCCCACCCCCCATCCATGTCTTTACTGTTTGGGCTTCTGTTTACTCAGGGTAAGACTTGGCAGGAGCTCTAAGATGTCCAATTATATAATTTTAGTGGGGATACAAATCTTGCCAGAGAGAAGATGCAGGAGGGGCTGGGGGCAGTTGGCTGCTTCTCTTCCTCTCTTTGGAGATAGGAGAGGGTTAGAGGAGCCCTGGGGTAATGGGCATGGCCTGGCCCAGTTGCCAAGAAGGATGGGAAACAGGCAAATGGAAATGTGGTGCAGGTGTCTTTCCTTGGCCCAAATGACTTAGTGGAAGATGTCCACCTATGGGAGGCACACTGGGCTTTGGCAAAAGGAAGAGAAAATCATTTGTCCTATTGGACAGGAGTGCAGATAGGAACTTTTGGTTGAACAGAGCAAAAAAAGAGGTTCCCACAGTTCTCTGAGTAGACCCGAGTGGGATCTCTGTTAAAAATCCCAAAGCACTAAATAGCTCACAGTCATTCTGATCCCAGAGTTGAAAATGTTCAGTTAGCCCAGAGACATTTGGCTTCTGGCTTTTTCCTTCTGAAAGAAACTGGGCTCAAATTGGAAGTGTAGTCCTACTTGGACCCCAGGTGGCTGAGGGAACCTAGTTCTACTCATCTTGTTTACCCCCAAATCCTCATGTCCCACTAAGGGAAAGACTAAAAGGGAAACTGACCCCACTCATCTCCATGCCCAGGCATGTGCTCCTTGCTGGGTCAGTGCCTCCTCTAAATCCTTTGGGGTTTGGAAAAAGTACAGAGCCTCCTCTTCTTGCAGATGTACTAGACCATGATATCACCCAAGGGCTTCTCTTCACCTCTTACAATTTCTCAGAAGCAAGGAGCAGAGATGCCAGCTAACTCTACTCCCTGCCCTTCCCCCTCCCCCCCAACATCTATGACTCAGGGGTCAGGGCAACTCTGCTGGATCAGCAAGATTTTCATTCCCAGGAAGTCTAAAGAGTCTCTATATAGTTTCAGAACTGTAAGATACCCTTAGAATCCAACCATCTTTATTTTACAGATGAGGAAACTGAGGCCCAAAGAGTTTAGCTGATTTGCCCAAGGTCATACAGGTAGTAAGTGAAAGAATTGGGATTTGAACTTGGGTACTCTGGGGTAGAAGTGTGAAGTGAGGCGGGGTTCTTTAACAGTTATAGTCATTGGGCTGTAGCTGTTGAGGGATAGGGAGGGAGATGGCTTGGCACCAAAGCAGTAGAAAAGAAAGATAGACCTGAGGACTTTCTTGTGACTCAAATCAAGGGCTTTGGCAGACTTCTTTCCTGCCCTCAGGAGCCTTAATTTTAAGAATAATAAAAACAATCCACGTGAATGCTGGGCTTAAAAGTTTACAAAGCGCTGTAATATACACAGTCTCATTGGAGTCTTATTAATAGCCTTGTGAAGCAGGGATTCTGAGGTCTGCTTTACAGAAGAGGATGATAAGGCTCAGACAGATGACGTGCTGTCTGCTCCAGTAGCTTTATCCTGAGCATTGTCCTGTAGTTCACAGGCTTAGTCCCTGACCCCAGGTATCTCTATCCCTCCCTTTCCCATTCCTATGACTTGCACACACAGTCAATGGGGGAGCCATCTCTAGAACCCAGGTCTCCTGACTCCCAGTATAGGGCTTTTTAAAAGAGTGACCAAGATCTTTTTGTGAGCAATGAAGTTGGCTCACCATGTATGATATGAAGGTTGTTGCTGAAGCCTACCAGAACTAGGGTACTACTCTAGCATATACCTTAAAACTGTCTACCTTTCCTACCTATTTTCATATTACCTATGCCCAGGTTGGCAGTTAAGCCCCAACTCTCCTCTCAAACCCACTCCCCATCTTTTGACTCTCCCCTCTCATCTTTGTTCCTCCCCTCCCTTAGGATGGTGGTGATGGGTGGGTCAGCCTTATCCCAGTGGAAATAGAAACTCCAGCTTCTCAGATACTTTACCTTCTGAGCTGTTTCCTGGTGGTTTTGGATTCTGATTTGTACCTGGAGGCTCCACACTCAGGCTCTCTGTATCTTCAGCTCCCAGTCTCACACCTCACAGTTCCCTGCCGTGGCTGCCTCCTCACTCAGCTCTGGACAGACAGGGAGTGGAGTCAGCAGCACTTTAAATATTCCTTCCCATGGGACCCAGTCCTTGCCAAAGCCAGCAGCTGCAGGTGGGCCGGGAATGACCCCTTCCCCAAATGGATGGCAGGGACATCTTTGGAGGTTGGCATCCACACTACTTTTTGGACAGCTTACCAGAAGCAATTGGAATCTGTGAGGATCTGTGATTTTGCCTTTCTTACAAAAACAATGATAACAATCCTATTTATTTAGCACTTCAATGTTTACAAAGTCTTTTCCCCACAACAGCTTGGTGAGGTAGGTAGTAGCAGTATTACTGGGCTTGTTTTACAGATGAGGAAATTAAGGCTTGGTGAGGTCAAGTCACCAAATCTCAACTTTGGAAGAGACCTCACAAGTCATCCAGTCTGACCCATAGCTGAGAAAGAATCCTCTCCAATACACCATTCAAAAGGCCTTCTCATCTCTGCTTGTAGATATGTGGTGAGGCAGAACCCATTGCTTCCCACAGCAGACCATTCCAATTTTTTTTTTAGATAGCTCTAATTGCTAGGAAGTGTTTTCTTACCTTAAGCAGAAAACTGCTTGTTCTGCCCTCTGAGGCCAAGAACAATTCTTCCTCTACAAGACAGACTTCAGTACTTACTCAATCAGCCTCATAATACCTAGAGCTAGTAAATGTCTGAATCACAGAGCTCATAAATGTCTGAATTATCATTTGAATACAGGTCTACTGACCCCCATATCCGGTGCTTTCCACTAGAAAGCAGGCTGATTGTCCTGAGGGACTCTCTTTCAGATTCTGGCTCTGTTTGCGGATGGGAAGCCAGGTGAGGTAGGGAGGGGTAGGAGGTAATGAAAATCCTGGCAGGAATTGAGAACAGAACGATAGAACAGATCAGAATAATAGAGGGAATCTTCTCATTCCTTTCCTCAGTTACCCACTTCTATCCATTTCTAGAAAGGATTAGGGCCCCAGGTCTGTTTCTGAAATGGCAAGAGAATGGGGACCTCAAATTAGTTCAGGGAGTAAAAGGCAAACATGCGCTATTAAAAGTGTTATTCAGATGAGGGCGATATATCTTAAGCCATCCTGCCAACTCTCCAGGAGAGCTATTTCCTCCTCCAAGGGTGGCACCCTTTCTGGGGTTCATTATTAGGAATGAACTTGTGTTCAGAACACCTGGAAAATGAATTAGTGGGCTTTGCCCTCTCCCTCCCCAACCATGAGTCAGAGTAGGTTTGGGTGTCAATAGATGTCCCTATTTTGACCTCCTTGGAAGATTCAGGATGCAGGGCAGAACTGTGTCCCAGGGAAAAGTTGGCCAAAGTGTGTGATTCATCCCCTTCCTCCCCCATCCTCAATGGGCTAAGCTCTAGTCATGGGTTAAAGTTCCCCACCACCCCATCCCACTCTGTTTCAGTTCTGTTATTCCTATTTCTCACCCCCCCAATTCTAGGGGGTAAGTCTCACCCTTCCGGCAAGTCTGACCTCAGTCATCAGAGCTACATTTGCTCTGTCCTTTGGGGAGGGCTATAGCTAGAATAGTTGTCTGAGCTGGGATCTAAGCCTGGTGGATTCCCCCAGGCCCTGGGAGGTGACATTGGCATTTCGATCCAGGGCCTTAAAAGGGAAAAACCTGAGGCTGCAGCTGCTTTGAGGCCCTAAGGGAGGGCATGGGATAGGGGTGGAGAGAGCTGAGAAGATGCCTGCAAAGGTTTGGGAGAGGATCCAGAAGAAGGGGGAGGAGCCCTGCAGGGACTCAGGGAGAGTAGGGGGTAATGCCACTGAAGATAACTTGACATTTATGTAGCAACTTTGGTCTGCTAAACCTTCGATGTTTCATCTTATCTGGACCCTTTGAGTTCGAAGTCAGGCTTTTGGAGCAACAGGAACCATCCACCCTGGTTCCCTCTCTACACAAGGCCACTTCTTTCCTAATCTGCTTACAAATGATTTCCAAAAGCCAGTAAGTGGGAGAAGGTGAAAGTTGTCCTGAGTCAGAGAGGTCTCTCCTTAGAAGTAACTTTTCTGAATTCCTGGCCTTGGCAGGAGTAGGTAACTGGTAAAGAATGCTTTGTGGAAATTCATATTGAGACACTAGAGAGTGGAGTATGAAAATCTCCTTAATTGAATGATACAAGCTAACAAATGGCCCTAACCACCAGTTCCAGGGTGAAGCAAGGAGGAAGGTGGCCAAGAGGTCTGACCAGGCAATAAATATGTGAGATTAGTTGTTGGGTGGGGGAGTCCGGGGAGTCCGAGGAGTCCGGAAAGAAGGTCCAGAGTTGGGCCGAGTCCGTGAAATGTGCGTATGTGTGTGTAAGTCACACAGAGCAAGGCCGATTTTGCTCAAAATGCGGTGTTTATTGCTCTATTCAGTGACCACGAGCAGAGTTATAAAAAGACGCCTCTGTCTGCCATAGATTAAATACTTAAAGTCAGCTATAAAACCACGTGGCTCCAGGATAACACATATTGCCAAAATCATGCACACCCCGCCGATGCGTTCTCTACACACTCACGGACACGTGACACACCCACGGATACACGATTTGGAAAGAACTTCCCCACAGTGACACAGAAAAATACTCTGCACAGAACTGGGGCCAGCCCTTGCCCCTCCCCTCCCCCCAAGCCCTCCCCACTAGGCCCAGGGGCATCAGTTCTTTGGGGGAGTCCTTGTGCCCAAAAGCACCGCCCCTCCCTCCCATTCTTCCCTCTCCTCCAGGAGATCATAGGAAGCGCCCCTTCTCTGGGTGTTGGGGAGTAAATTAAAATTTGTGATTGTTCTTCCGCAGAGGCAGCCTTGGGGTAGGGGAGCCGGAGGAGGCGGGTGAGTAGAGAGTGACCTACTACTGGGGAACGTGGAACCTAAGGTTGGGAATGGGATGGGGGAGGGGAACGTTTAAGACTAATGTCGGGGTGTTGGTTACACCGGGATTGGGGAAAAGGACAGCCTTACGTGGGGGGTGGGGAAAGGGAGGAGTGGGCTGGGCAGCCCAAGGCTGGGGGTGGGCAAAGTGTAAGGCTGGGGCTGGGGATTGGTGGGGAGAGCCAGCCTAGAATTAGGGGAGGAGAGGAGGGGGTAACCTGTGGTTAGAGGGGAAGCCTAAGGCAAGGAGGGGGCCGTCTAAGGCTGTGGGTAGGAGGAGCAGGCAGAAGGTCTGGCCAGGGGACAGAGTTCGGTCCCATCCCTTCTCTCCCAGACTCATTAGGCCCCCCCTGAGTTCACTCCTTACCTGGCTCCCATCTGTAAGCTGGGTTCCAAGGCTCCCCCTCCCTCCCCGGAATGAGCTGCTCCCCAGAGTGGGCTCCTAGCCCAGGCAGAGGAGACACAGTGTCCGGTTAAAACATCAGAAACAGATGGACAGACAGTGGGATACACGGAGCCCAGCACATACAGTATTTGGATCAAGTTAAAAAATGGGACTGGGGGTAAGCCGGGTAAGCCAGAGCTGGGGCAGGGCTCAGCAGGGGGTGGAAGGGTGGAGGCTGGGCCAGTCGCCTGATTGCGTCTGGCCCCAGGACCCCCTGTTCTGGTATTTACAGTAGAGAGAGTTGCAGTTGGAGGGGGTTCTCATGGCCGGTGCAGACAGAGCAGATGAAGCAAAGAACAAAACAAAGCTGAAGGAGGAGCTTAGGATGCTCCTGGGCCCTGGCTGGACTCTACCCAGGCTGGGCAGGTCTCAGGCTAGGGCTGTGCTATCCGGCCCCTAGGAGTGGTTACTCCTTGGCTTGGGAAGAAAGCTGCTTCTCATACAGGCTCATGACGTGGTGCACAAACTGGTACTGCTCACAGGTCTGGATCATCCCGCCCCTGGCAGAGCAGAAGAGGGCAGGGCAGGACAGTCAAAAGGGCAGGGCCCAGGAAGTCAAAGGGATAGGGGCTGTGAAGCAAGGAGAGGAATAGGTGGCTTCCCTAGGGGGTGATGGTTACTGAGACCAGACCCATATCAGTGCCTGGGCTCTAGCCATATTCAGGGCCTAGAGAGTGTTAGCAGTGGGTAAGGCACTGAAAGAGGGGGCCTTTAACTGCCCGGGGGATAAAAGGGGGCACCATCTTTCTGTCTCCACTTGGGGAAGCTAGTCTTTTCTCCATTTAGTCTGCATTACTATGAGCAGTGGGCGCCAGTGGCACCAAGGGCCATTCCTGGAAGGAATGACCAGAAGGAAGGAGACCTCCTTGGGTTCCAAGTCCCCCACATTCCTCACCTATTCCCCAGGCAGTCAGAACTATCTGCCCTTCCTTTGTGTAGGAAGTTCTTTGGAGACCGTTTTTGTCTTTCTTTCCCCGGCACCTAGAGTACTGCCCCATGACTGACTGACTGACTGGGAGTTGATTTTCACTATCCCTGAGACTCCCTTTCTCCACCTCCGCCTCTCGCCTTAGGCCTGGCCTGAGTAATAGCTAGCTGGCTCAGACCCGCCACACTCCCTTCCCTGCCCACAGTGCTGACCTGTCTTGTCGGAGCTGACAGGTTGTCTTCAGGATGTCCACCACACCTTCTCTTTGCAGCTGCTTGCAGCAGATGCTAGTGGCAATGAAGCAGCCAGTCCTCCCGATCCCAGCACTGGGGGGCAGAGAGAGGCTTCTGAGGGAGAGTCAGAGAACCGAATGGGGGAAGGCGAGGTGCCTGAAGGTCAGGCTGGGGAGGAGGGGGGGTGGGGAAAGCCCACCGCCTGAGGCACTTACCTGCAGTGAACGATGATTGGAGCAAAGCTCTGCCCCTCCCAGCCAGCTGCTTCCTCCACCTCCAGGACCAGCTGCAACAGCGGTGGTGCCCGATCAGGGGTCTTCTGGTCTGGCCACGAAGTGAACCAGTAATGCTTTAGGCCACGCTCCTCAGCCCCACTCTGCAAGAGGGTCAGATACTGGGGAGTAAGACCCCCTGACTTGATTTTAGTCCATCCACTTACCTACGCCCCCAACATGAAGAACAGTGGGAAGTCCTTCTACGAACCTTCTCCCATTCTCTCTCTTTCCCCTCTCCGGGGCTGTACTGTCTGTCCTCTCTGGGTACGGCCAGCCTGTTAATTGGCAGACTGCTCAGTCTCCCAGCTCAGCCAGACTCTCTCTGGGCACCATTAGCCTTATTGTGCTAACTGAGTGGTTAGGGAGCTACTCTGTAGGTTCAGGGGGGTGGCATCCTAGGCAAAGATTGTATAAGCCCCTGTCAGCACCCGCCTAACCTGTGCCTTACTCCTGCCTGCCTTGGACCCCATGGAAGCCCCCAAAAGAGTTGAGAGTTAGGGGCAGTGGGGAGAGGTCCCAGACGGATCTCTTTTCCTTGGACTTTGTAGATTCTGATGTTGATGGCTATCTCAGGCTATTTCTGGATACAGTGAAGCCCACCCCAAATAGGACTGGAAGTTGAAAGGGACCTTGTTGATCATCTCATCCAGTAATATAAAACTCCAATAGAAATAGGGGTCACTAATCCATACTTAAGGATCCCTGCGGGCCACATATTAACTTGTTTTAAAATGTAACATTATCTATATTGTATTGTATTTTTATTTATTTTATTAAATATTTTCCAATTGCATTTTAATCTGTCTTGGCCACACCAGGGAGGGTTTGTCACCTCTGATCTGGATCAGCCACCTTGTTTTACAAAAAAGGAAGCCAAGGCTTAGGGAGATTAAATAAATTGCTAAAAGGCACACAAGTGATGATTAATTGAGAGCTGGGATTTGAATCCAGATCCTTTGACTAAACCCCAGGATCTTTCTACTATATGACAATAACTTCCCTTTGATTCTGCCCGTCCAGTCTCCACCACGTTGAGAGGAATCTGTCTTTACCACGAAACCTTTTCTTTGTTTTCAAAAAATGGAAGATAATTCCCAATTCCCTTTTGTGGTAGGAGAGCTAGAAGGGGGAGGATTTTGAAGAGCAAGATCACTGATGTGCCCCTCCCCCTCTAGCTTTCTTTGGGGTCATCTTTTTTTTTTTTCCCCTTGGCTGGGCGTTGGGGTTAAGTGATTTGCCCAGAGTCTTTCAGCTAGTAAGTGTTATGTGTCTGAGGCCGGAATTGAACTCAGGTCCTCCTGAATCCAGGGCCTGTGCTCTATCCACTGTGCTACCTAGCTGCCCCCGGGGCCATCTTATTTAAAGATACATGGGTACAGGTTACTGGAGTCTCCCCATTTGGTCTGCCTTTCCCCTTGGATTCCAAATGCTCCATGTATCGAATAAAGAGAGGCCACAATAGAAGGTCAGCAAGAAGAGACAAGAAGTTGGGAGTTACTACCAGTAACTCACTTTATGACCATAGGCAAGTCCTGTCACTTCTTCTGGGCTCTTTGTTTCCTCGGCTATAAGATGGAGAAACTAATCTTTTGCCTTACCTAACTCAAGGCATGTTTATTGCATTCATCAGCTAAGACAATGGGCTTTATAAGTTTAGAAGGCATTGTACACAAGGGAAAGGTGAGCTCCAACATGGAAGTGAGGCTCACCTGTCAGATGTGATATGAACTGGGATTCCTGCCATGGGAGAAGGGAGTGAAAACCAGCGTTCTTACTACAGGACGACCTTGGATCCTCTTCCCTAGAGGTCCTGGATAGGCGTGGGAGGCCCACATAGGTGGTCTTCCCCGGCCCCCCTCCCCAAAACCCACCTTTCCCAAGGAATGGCTCCTGGGGCTCTGTTCTAATCCACTGTGTTAGTGGGTTAGACAGATGCTGCCTACTCTCTGCTCCCTCAGGCTAAGCCATCTTTTCTTGGTCACCACCAACTCTGCCCCCCCTGTACCCCTCAGCCCAAGGTCTCACCCTCAGGGTAATAAGACGAAGCCGGTAGTCATCAGCCTGAATGACCTGCTTGACGGTGATCTCGACCCCGTCATACACAACCTGCTCTTCTGGCCAGTACTCTGTGCATTTCTGGAGGTATACAAGGTACGTTTAGTGGAATAGCTCTTCAGCGATGCCCACCCTAGCCCAACCTTATTCCTCCTACCTCCTCCACCCCATCACAAAGATACTGTTGCTTCTACCTCATTCATTTCTTCAATGTTGGTGATCATCACAATAATGGGGGCATGCTCCTGCCATACCATCCGCCAGAAGTCACTCACGGTGTTGACGATAGGTCCCTGAGTGGCGATGTACACCTTCTCCTCCCCTCCATAGCCCTAAAAGCCACAGGTGGTGGAGGGAGGCTTGTAGCATCATCACATTGGCCCTCTTTCTACAGTTATCCTTCACTGACTGACATAGCCCAGGCACGAGAGAGCAGTAATTAAAAAAGGCTAATAAAGTGTTGCTTAATACAGGTCCTTAAGAGATCTACTTCAATCTTAGAGAAGAATGTTTTGTAATTAGCATTTGAATAATTTTTTTTGGATAGATGCCTTGAAATTGAAATTTCCCCAGAAATCTTGTTAATATTTTCTAGTCATTTAGTGAGTTCTTTTCTATAAATAGCAAAAAAAGAAAGACAAAAATTCCAGAAATGTTGTTCAGTGGTTTCAGTCAGGTCCAACTCTTTGTGGTCCTATTAGGGGTTTTCTTGGCAAAGATACTGGAATGGTTTGCCATTTCCAGCTCATTTTTCAGATGAGACAACTAAGGCAAACAAGGCAGGGTTAAGTGACTTGCCCAGGGTCACATAACTAATAAGTATCTGAGGTCAGATTTGAAAGTACCACCTAGCTGCCTCAGAAATGTACACTCCTGTAAATATAATTATATAGTCTGGGTGAATCAAATTCAAACAGCCAAGTTTGACTGTAGTGGTCAGGCCTGCCTCTCTCCCATAGCCTCCAAGGGTTAGAAGGAGCTCCCTCCATCAGCTCTTTATCCCAATTCTAGGGATATTCCAGTTGTAGGGACCCCTAGACCTCCATTTCTCTGCCCCAAAGTAAGGATGAGTTAATAATCTAGTCTTCCAGAGCCATTTTGAATTTCTTTTTCTTGCCACTGATTGGGGAAAGAGAACGAGATTCGCCTTATTAGCTCATCTCCCACGGATGATATACTGGCTGGGATGGAGCAGTCTGGGGCAAGGGTATCTTTGACAAAAGGCTGTAGGGGCAGGGGATACTCACCCTTATATAGTTGGCATTGATGTATGAGTTCAAGGGGTCATCTTGGTGTGGTGAGGTAAGGCATACCCTGCTGTGGGGGTCTAGGAAAGAAAGAGGTGAAGTCATTGGCTCATCCCTCCTTCTGCTGGGCTTGCAGGCTATGCCCCCACCACAAAGGGTGACCCTAACCACTCAGGTGCCCTCTTACTTAAAACAGGGACACTTGAACCTTAGCACTCAATGATAGGAGGACAGCCTTGCCTGCCAAAGTGGAGACAAGTGTTCTCCAAAACTCCTCTGGGATCCTAGGGGCATTGAGGGGCCAAAAGCAACTCAGAGGCGCAGGGTGGTGGGAATGGAGAACATGCATTAATGAGGGGGGGAGATGTCAGGTGATAGATGAGTTGGATTTTGAGTTTATTGATACTTCTTCCATTTTATCTTTCTATTCCAGTACTAACCTTGCCTGCTTGAAATCTCTGCTTCTGTGCTAGGATCTCATGTATATCTCAGCCCTTGGATTTGGCTGCTCCAGAAAAACCCCAATTCTTACTTTTGGTGGCCTTTGGCTTTTGCTTTCTTATGTCTTGATCTGACTCTCAAGAGGGGATTGCATTCAGCTTTTATGATTGTCCTAATCTCTGACCGTTAACCCTCTCTACCTCTGCTAGGGTGAGATAACGTTATCCAGCTCCCTAAACAAACTGTCATGGTGGACAGTGTTGGAAACACTGCCTGCCTGTGTAGCTTCCAGTGAGGACTCCAGAAGAGGCAAGGAACCATGGGAGACTGCCTATTTGTTCCAGACCCAAAGTCAGAAGTTGGTGAATCAGTTTTTGGCATACTTTGTGATTCCAATCCAAAAAGAATGAGCCTGCATGAGAAAGCCATCAACCTGTCTGTACGTACCCAACAATGTGTGAGCGCTGAATTTTGCTTTAAAGGCTGAAGTTACTCCGATCTAACACCAGATTTGTAACTAACAAGGGGCAAGTGGTACTTTGCCTCGAGGTAATATCTTGGAAGGCGTGTGCTTTCTTTTCACCACAACCACCAATCAGTGACTTCTAGAATCTTGTGGTACAATCATCCCTGACCACCCTGCCAAGATTCTGTTCCTGTGGTGGCCATTGGAGTGTTCTCTTCCATCCCTCCAAGGAGAAAAGGATCCCCCTCTTAGGTAGAACTCTCCTTTGCACCACTGTATCACCAAATCTTCCCTTTCCCTCCACCTCCCCAGTCAGATACTTCATAGTATGGCCATGTATCCCATACCTTGGACTCTTCTGTCATCTTTCTGTTCCATGTGGATAGAATTGTGTCACTCTGCCCTATCCCTTCACCATTTCTGGCTCCACCAGTTTGTTCCAGGAGCAGATATAGCTAGTTACAGTTCTACCCAGAACTCACCCAAACCACATTTGGGGAATCTCCTGGATGACGGGAAGAACTGGTGGGACTTGGGGGGTACTGTCTAGCTTGCCCATGTTATTCAAGCACAGCATTTCACTCAGGTAGGAAGTCATTTATACTACAGACTGCCAGTGACTATAGGGAAGGAGGTGGGGAGGTGGTCAAAGTCCCTTCAAAGGTGGTAGAAGTTCCCCAGGTCAACCAGTCCCTGCATCTTGTCCTATGGCTCACTCACTCCTGACCTTCAGGATTAAACTGCCAGAATCCCTGCAAATCTTGGGTCTTGGTAATGGCAGATTAATGAGCTTCTTCGAACTTCCTGGATTTAGTCCTAGTCTGCAGAAAGCACGCACCCTGGGAATAGCACAACACTCTAATGACAGCTGATACAGCCCATGGGTATCCACTTCACTCTGGATCAGTGACCCATAAGACCAAGCCATACTGGGTGTGGGGAAACAGTGCAAGGTACTTACCCTGAATATGATCTCTTTCTCTTCCTTTTACTAGTAACAGCAGGGATTGGTTGGCTGTCCTGGTAAATCTAACCATCATAAGACCTGTGGAAGGTCACCTCCTACTTTTGTACTTCTGAACATGTTGTCCAGAACAGATGCATACTGCATCTAGCCATGGCACTGAATTGGACCCTGAATAAGAGTTTTCTTCCTGGGACTGCTATGTTTAGCACAGTGGGTCCAGAGAAGTCATGCCTGTACAGGCCACATGATAATGTGGGCCATATCCCTCTAGAAACCCCAGACCTGCCCTGATCGGCTTACTGACCAGAACCAAGACTGGGGTCCTGTGGGAGTTCTTGGAGAAAAACTGGAAGAGAGGTTTGTCTGGCCCTTCATCTCTCTGACTAGAGTCCTATTAGCATTTGCTTAAGAGAAATGTAGTGAAAGATGACTGCTGTGACCAGAGAATCCTGTTCTATATCACCATCTAAGAGTGGTTCTCCATACCCTGCCCAATAGAACAGATGGCCAAGTCACTGACATTCAACAAAATGGGATTTCTGGTGAACCTACAACCTTGTCTGGATGCAGGAGGGTGATGAAAAACGTCTTCCAGATCCAGGATGGCTTATATTAATAGCAGGTTAAGTTGTTTGGTTTGTATAAGGCCCCTATGGTATTTCAGAGATTTACAGTTTTGATATTACATAACTGGGCCAAGGAGTTGTGGGTTACCTTGGTGATGTCCTCATGTATTTACAGGACTTTGCCCAATATACCAAACTAGTTTTAACTTATTTCAGTGTTAATGCCAGCATCAGTGAGTTGCCCAATCAGAGAAATGTTAATTTGAGGAGGAAGGTTGAATTCCTTGGGTACATAATACGCTGGTAAGGAACATATGTATATATGATCTATTTAAGGTGAAGGTGATACTCTAGTAGGGGACCTCTGACTCTGTGAAAGACTGACATCAGTTCCTTGGCTTTATGGACCACTACTACCATTTTATCCCCCTATTTTCCATGCTGATGGTACCTCTTACCAATCTGCTAACGTACTCCTAGGCTTTCTGGGCATGGAACATACCCCTGAAGACCTGAAGGCCTAGTTCACCTATCTCTATCTTGATATTGCTGGGTCCCCAGAAACAGCTCATTGTAGAGAAGGATGCGTCCAGTGTCACTGTGGGGGCTGTCTCTTCATAGACAGCACTTTCTGCTTCAATTTTCTCATTCTTTCAGGCTCCTTCTGCAAGTTGCTCAATGCAGAAGAAAACCAAATACTGAGAAAGAGCTATTTATTAGATAGGAAAAGCTAAATCTCGGGCTTTGAGGGACCATCTTGAGGGGAGAATGGTTCTCCATCATCATCCACAGTAACTATAAGAACCAAGGGCAACTTCCAACTGCCCACATGCTCAATCAACACAAGTTCTGTTGAGCAATGCTTTCCAATAGGTCAAGGTTTGATATCATCCATATTCCCAGATGTTGCAATCTACCACTGAATGTGCTATTGTGAAAGGCCAAATTTGGGCACCCAATGGATCACTCATCCTGATAGAGGTGATAAACTTTGTCATAAAGGACTCACCTCAATTTCTCCCCCCTTTCCTATCCATACTTTGTCCAACATCATTAATTGTGAATGAGCAGTAAGAATTCATTGTCCAAGAGATTCTAAACTTATGGAGGTGATGGCTGTCTCCAGTACTGAGGAGACTGGGTAGGGTCATCTCCAATCCAAGGAGAGTATGTGAGAGCTGGTGTACACTCTAAATATGCCAGATCTGTTAAAGGCCTTCTGTGAATGCTACTCCACCAAGCCACCCTTCCAGGTCTAAGGTGATGGTGTTTGTTTCCAAAGCTCCTCTGACACTGTAGGGTGAGGTAGGGTCTTACCCTATACATGATAAAAGAACAGAACTTTAAGGGCGCAGAATCAAACACATAGTATGATAACTGACATTTATGTGGCTTATCTTCTAATGTGGGACTGACCTTCTTGGCTTAAAATTTCTGCTCCTGTATCCAGCTACTGCTTTCATCTCAGCTCTGTAGGTTTGGTACCTCAGAGAACCCCTGGCCTGGTTTATACTTAGATGGATCCCAAGTCAACTTCACTCATCTTTTCCCACAGTAATGATGATGGTAATACTGCTACTATTAATATCTTACATTTACATGATACAGTATCTCATTTGGTCTGCAGAATAGCTCTGTGAGACAGATGATATTATCCCAATTTTATAGATAAAGAAACAGACTCAGATGAGTTAGGTGTGTTGCCCAGGGTCACAGAACTAGGCAGTATCTGAGATGGGATTTGAACTTCTGGACTCCAAATTCAGGATTCTAGCCATTATGCTATGCCATTTGCAGCTTCAACAATTTCTTTAATCATGGTAGCTTCACTCTCACCTCCCTTGCTACATCCTTCAGGGGATATAACAATACAGTAGGTGTGTGCTTCTTCTATTTGATGCACTTTAGGCAATCTTGCCTACCCCTAATCACCTCTGCTACTCATCTTCTCTCTGCTCTGCATCCAGGGGCCCCAAGAAGGGGAGAAAGGCAAATACCACAGCGCCTCTTAACTCTCCAATCCCCCATCCCCTACTTTCATTCTTTTCTCTGGATACTATTCCTGTCAGGTTTTGAGAGTCCACAGAGGACGTCAGTTCAGAGGGGGAGGGTTAACAGTGGGGAATACTGGGGAACACCAGGGATACTACCCCTGGGTAGAATGAATGGGTGAATTTCTGGGATCACAGGAACATGGATTTATTGCTAGAAGAGGCCTTAGAGATTATGCGGTTCAGCCGCCTCCTTTTACAAATGAGGAAACCGAGGCCCAGCAAGAACACACAAGGCTACACAGCCAGTAAGGAACAAAGGCAGAATTCAAACCCAGTCCCTCTAATTCTAAATTTAGGGCTTTTCAGTTTTTTAAAGGAAGGTACTCTAACTACACAGTGATTAGAGGAGCTGGGTTCAAATCCATAATGCCTGTGACTTATATGACTTTGGGCAAGTTACTTAACTACCAGGGCCTCAGTTTCTTCATCTGTAAAATAAGAGGAGGTGGTAGGTCAGATGGCCTCTAAATCCCTTCTTATTCTAAATAAACTTATGAAAGATCTATATTTAAACAATATTTTTCCTATCCTTATGCACACACATGGAATGTATACACAGATTATACTCACAGGAATTATGCAGACACACAAAAATGTACAAATACACCCACATGTGCAGTAAACACAAACACTGCACACACATAATATATACACAGAATTCATGTATATATATACTACTCACTATATATGTGTATGTACATATTTATGCATATATATATATATATATTTATACAAGTGTATAATGAGGGGCATAGTAGATAGAGCTCTGGTCCTGGAAGACCTGAGTTCAAATCCAGTCTCAGACTGTACCAGTTGTGTTGGCATGTTATTTAGCCTCTATCTGCCTCAGTTTCCCCAACTGTATAATGGGGAGATAAAAAAGGGATATGGGGAAATTAAAGATATACATCTAAACAATAATTTTCCTAGTCTCATGTAATGTGTACACACACACATACACACACACACACCCACCCACAACATGGAATGTTTGTATAGGTTGTACACACCCATATTATATAAACACACAAAGTATATACAAACACATCCACATGCACAAGAAATCAAACACTACATGCACATAAGTACACAATATTCACACATATATGTATATATATATTATTCACATAACCTATACACATTATACATATACACATATATATAGATAGATAGACAGACAGACACAGTAGGTAGAATACTAGGCCTGGAATCAAAAAGACCTTCATTCAGATCCTCAGACATTTAGTAGCTGCAGGTTAATAAATGCTTATTCCCTTTCATTCCCATCCCTCACACATATAAACTATGTATATACTGTGTACACACATAGTATAAACACATAGTACATACATATGGCAGGCACACAATGTATATACATACTGTGTGTGTGTACGTATATATGTATACGTATATATATACACCCATACCTTATTTATAAATATATACACACACCTATATATTTGTTATTGTTCAGTTGTTTCAGTTATGTCTGATTCTTCATGACCCTATTTGTGGTTTTCTTGGCAAAGATATTGGAGTGGTTTGCCCTCTCCTTTTCCAGCTCATTTTGCAGATGAGGAAATTGAGGCAAACAGGATTAAATGACTTGCCCAAGGTCCCACAGCTACTAAGTGTCTAAGGCCAGATTTTGAACTCATGAAGCTGAGTCTTCTTGACTCCAGGCCCCCACACTCCATCCACTGAGCTACCTGGCTGCCCCATTCCATTTCTGGGGCAGCTCTAATTGTTATGGTGCCCAAATTTGCCTTTTTGTAGCTCCTCTCCATCGCTCTAAGTCGATCAGAACAAGTATTCCTCTTCCACATC